CAAAGTTTTTTTTAAAAAAAAAACAAATCAACAGTTTTCCTGTATTTTTTTCTATATCCTTACCAGTGACACTACAAACCAAGAAACACTACTTAAAAGGTTTATTTGTTTGGTTTTTTAAATTTATTTCCTATACAAGCCACAGACTTCTGGAAAGAATCTGCTCTGCCAGAATTGCTCAGAACTTTCATATACAAGCCCAAAAAGGTGGACAGAATAAAGAAAGGCTTTCCTTTTAAAATAGGAAAAACAATTTGTAACCTCCTTCCACTCCAAAGCAAAACCAAGAACTGTGCAGAGACTTCCATAACAAATGTAGTATGAAAAGCAACATTTATTGAATGTTTTTAAAGGACAGCATTCCTTTGAAAAGATCTAACTAAAAATACTTAATTTGACAGTCCAACTGAGATATGTTTACAACCCTATCTACTTCTAAATCCTGTGCTAAACAAAACAGGGTGGTTTTTGCAGCTGTAGTCATGCACTTAAGACACTAAAATAATGTCAAACGTAAATAAATGAGCAATTTACTTTATGTTTACAGTTAAAAGTGTTATACATACTCAATAACATATTCAGCACGTTACTTTGTTCCCTGCATCTGAATTTGCATATTCTTGCACTACTTTTTTAATGCTTCAGTCCAGCAATTAGCATGCTGAATCTTAATAAATATATCAAAGATGTCTTTTTAGTTAGCTCAGTGAAGAGAAAATACACACCTGCAAAACATTTTTTTTAAACACTAATAATATAAGAAACAGTAAGTGCCATAGAAAGTGTTATTATTTTATACACTAGACACAACAGAACCCATTAAAAGAAATACCTACAGCAGCACCACCCAACCAATTTGATTTGCAGACATCCTGTAAATCTTTCACTGGAAGGGAAGATCCCTGAAAGGCTAATCAAAGCCCACTGGGGATAAGTTTGGGCTTTTTTTCTAATTATCTTTCAGAGATCCCCTTGAAAATCTCTCCCCAGAAACCTCGGGATGGACCAGAAGCTGAAAGTCAGTGTCTCCATGGTATTATAAAAAAAATATTCAGCCTGGCATGCTTCAGAGCCTACTAGTCACACTGGGTAAAACCCTGACCTTGCTGAAGTGACCAGATATTTTTCATTTAATCCTTAATTTATCACAGAAATAATAAGAGTCATAAAAGGAATGTACTCAATTACTTTTCTAACACTGTTTCCCAGTGCAGCTAAGGAAAGTCAAGTTAGGTCAAAATCAAAGACTTCTAAATTTCACTCTCTAATTTCTGCACAGCACTGCATTTACAAATGCAGGGGAGGGGAAGGTATTCTAGGCCACCACATCTCTGTTCCCTGGCTGCTAATTCACACGCTGCGGTACAATGGCACATCTTCCTGCCTTCTAACCTTTCTGCCAGACTTAAGAAAGAAACCCACCGAATGCCAGCTTCCATCAGTTTGTTCTCCCAGACCAAGGGAAATGTTCCAAAGCCAAACTGAATCACACGCCTCTGCAGTCATTCACAACTGCTCCGTCCACTACGTACCCTCACAGAGACACCTCCCATCCCATGGTCAGAGATGCAACGTGTTCCTATGACACGTGAAACACGTCATGGCTGCACAACTGCTGCACAACGCACATTTCCCCTTCCTTCTGCACCAAAGTTGCTTCTGCCTTTGATATGTGCCCATTCAAATTTTCATTTTTAGAATGCTGAGCCTTACGTAAATGAGATTCAGAACTGTAAATGCAATGCCAAAGTTAAAAAAAAAGATCTGTCACAAAATGCAGTATTTTTACCTCTTGCCACAGAATAAAAGGAATATGCTTATTTTAATCCCTGTAGTTCTCCTTAGAAACTACAAAAAAATGAGATGGTTAACTAAAATAATATGGCAGCCACTTCCTAGTTGCAAACTCTAAAAGCCAACCTTGAAGCAACTGTAAAAACACAAGCATGGCTCACACTACAAAGCATTTAATTCTCAATTATTGTTCAATGTGATGAGTCATGCAAGTCCACCACTGCAATATGCGTGTCAGTAATTCAGTCCTGGGGATTCTTCATTCTTATTTGTTCAGATATGCTACAGGCACGCTATTACAGTCAAAAAAGAACCTGTGTACCAAAAGAAGGTTTCAGTGAATCTCTTCAGCAATCATAAAAACATTGCAAAAATACATCACTAGCATCCACCTTGATGACCCTATTAAAAATAGTCTCACGTTCTTGTCAGAAGCACAATGCTGCTGTATTACCCTTTCCAGATTTTCACCCTAAAACTGAAATACAACGTACGGCTCTGCCTGCAGCATATTGCTAATTATAACCCAAATGGAAAGGATCTAGCTTCTGTATTTTCACTCTTCCGCTCTGTTCATTACAGCATACTGTATAATTGTTACAGCAAACTTTAAAATTGAATGCATAGTAATATTAAAGCAGCAACTTATGTCAGAAAAACAGTCAACTTGACCTGTCACCCTAGCTTTATCCCAGAGAAAAATATGTAGAGGTATAAATCACCCATTTCTGGGAACAAGACAATACAACACACTCCTAGAACTTTGGTCAGTGAAACACACAGGCTCTTAAAAGTTTTAAGTCAATCGCATCCCTTTGGGCACATTCTCAACAACAAACATAGCTTTAATCAGACACATATACCAGAATATGCTTGCAAAATTAGCATTTTCCATTGTGTAATGTGGTAGACAGAAGAGACAAGGTTGTCATTGGCTGCTTGCTTTTTAAAATGAGAATAGGAAAACAAAACATTCACTACTTCTTGTGCAAATATTAGCAATAAGCAGTGCTGTTCAACATTTTCTTTCTTTTAAAGAATCTTTCAACAGACAGATTTAGAAGTAAAGGTATTTTCTAAAGAAAAAAATCTTGCCGGTTCAACTATATACCTTTAACAACTAACAAATCCTGTATTAGTTTCATTCCTACCAAAATCAGTAGGATTCTCCTATAAAAGGATTACATTCAGTAAGCCTGGTGAAGAGTGTTGTGTAACACATCATCTTGCAAGTATGAACTTTCATCTACACTGATGCTCAAAAAAATATGCCAGCAGGAAAATCTGACAGCCGCCACAGACTTATTACAGAAAGCTAGCTGCACTAAAGCCACTTTTGTTCTTCCTTCGCTACAACCCCACCACACCGGTTTCGTAGTGCCATACAGAAAAATTAATCAGCAGTCTCTATTCTGGTCATTCACACATTTTCTGCTGTCAGGAAGACTATTTACAGAAACACAACTCTATTAATGACAAGCTTGACAGAGCACATTTTAAGCGCCCAAATTAAAAAAAAAAAAAAATTCAAACAACATTTTCCTTTCGTTTGAAAGTCTCTCTCATGCCAATCACTGTTCGGTGAAAGGATGTGCAAACACCACAGCTCAATCCACATGGGAATGATGCAGTGACCCAGAAAGAGAATCTAATGGCCAACTGAGTAAACAAAGCAAAACTAGCCAAAACCAAAGGGCAGCATGCACATCAGCATCTTCTCCACTTAACTGGCATATACTTAAATCTAGTCTTGTATTTCCACATTCTGCAACAAGACTTCACGTTCCCATATAGAGCACTTCCTCCATTGTTTCCAAGACACATATGATGCAAAAGGAGAAAAATAGGTGCCCAGGTTCACAGAAAAGTTAGAGAAGAAAATATGGAGAAATGAAAAGTGATCATTGTATCACACATTTCAAAAATAAAATGCAATTTGCAACTGAAAATTATACTGACAACTAGAGAGGATTCAAAACAAAATGCTCGATTTAAACATCATTCCTCCCTTTGGGAAAAGGTGGCTATAATTTTTTTGAATGAACCCAATACAAATGTATACATGAATCTGTCTCTTGTCTATAAATATAAAAGTCTATATAATTTACAATACACCCATGCACCTTCATATAGACAAAGCATGTGGATGCAATTATTTAAGACTAAATATTTATCCCCTGCTCCCTTTTTTCCTTGAAAAGAGGACTGTTATCAATGTTAACACAAGAACTAAACCCACCCACCTCTACATCTTTGGTGCGGCTTATGTCAAAAGGGCAACATACATTGGAGTCCGATGAGTAAGGAGCACAAAAGACAAGAAAAACCACATAGTATCTTCGGTTTTAATTTCAGTACATACAAGTCATTCCACCCACTAACCTAAAAGCAAAGCTTTGATTTGGATAGATTATTTTCAAAGAGCACATCCAAACACAGCCTAACTAAAAAGCAGAAACTAAGTCCTTACACCTGTCCAACTCTGTATGCTGCTGGGCATCGTCTGCACTTCCCATGAAGAATTACACCAAGAGAGAGATAGGACCCAGGAAGATGATAAAGCACAGCTGAAATATCAGCTTTTACCAACAGATGTATCCCTTTCAGAAAAAACAAATGGAAAAGTTTTTGTATCATTGTAGTCAGGACAATGCCTTGCGCTCTGAAATTACAGCATTTTACTCCAGGGCATCTTAACACTTTTCCTGAGAAGTCCCACTTGCCCCTCTTTCTAACAAAATTGAGAGGTTTTTCTAAAGATGACAGCTATCCCCTCCCATTCCAGTTTGCAGCTTCCGAAAAACTGGCAGACTTCAACTGAGCTCCTCTCCCACTCCCCTGCCTTTCCATTAGTCTTCCAAGCCAGACTTTAATACTGTGTAAAAGCAGTCAACTATCACAACTTTTAACTCCCTTAACATGCACTTATTGAATTTGCCTGTAAACTGGGAGGCACTGGGGAATGAGGGAGAAAATAGGCCAAACAAAACCAGACCTTTCCAGAGAACCTCCCCCCATCAGCTTCATGCGCTTGAATTTACTAGAAAGAACTCCAATAGATCCCAATCACATTTGGATTAGTCTTGAGCCTCCTTCACAGCGCCCTGTCAAATTTCAAGCAGAAATACTACAAAAAAAAAAAAAAAAAAAAAAAAAAAAAAAGGTTGCTATTGTTTCCTTTAAAGTGTAACACACATTTTGCTTACCTCACTGTTGTGGCCCCTCAAATTGAAGTTGATTCTCTGAGGGGTGTTCCGGTCCCTCCTGCAATGGCTGGAAGTAAAAGTGACGCCTACAACTCCTCTGCCATTGCCTGTTGCCAACCAGCCTTCCTCATAGTACCGCCTCCTGCACACCGGTTTCTCCTTCTCACTTTTGGGGACTCTGCCTTTCCAGGAGAGGCAGAGGATGTTGGAATCGCTGCAAAGAACAGGCCCATGTTCCACTGCTGCATACATGCTTTTTAAATATTTTATTTTTTGACATAAGAAAGTAATATGTCTAGTGCACAAAATTTAAATCAATTTTTTTTTTTTTATTGATAAGACTGACCTGGGATAGATCATTGAAAGGGAGGAGGATGGGGTCAGTGTTTATAAATATCCACCAAATGCATAGTGAAAAATTCCTCTATAAAAGATGATGGCAGTTGGCTAAGAAAAAGTAACACTTAAAAAAAAATTCAGGTTCATTTTTGTTTTTGAGTCTGTAGAGTGAGGGTGCACTTATCCTTTGGAGAAACAGCTACTTCATAAGAGGCGCTCAAGAAATGGTTAAGTCATCTTTTTGCTCAACTTGATATAATCTTTATACAGCCTGAGATTCCAGTTTAGCGTAATGCAATTCCAGAGACAAAGAGTTGCAAATGTGTAGGTTTCAAGTAACTTAAGGCTTTTAAGATTTCCTCCAGTCAGATTTTCTTCAAAAGTTCAGTTGCAGAAATTTAAACACACGCACATACATATATATGTATATATATGACATTCATCTTTTCCAAGCTGCCCTCTGGCATATCTTTTCCATCTGATGTATTTCTGCTGCTAAAGCTGAAAGAGATTGCATAAAGGGAAAAAAAGGCACACAAACCGTGCGAAACAACAGACCCGAACTTGTGCAGGCACTGGTGTGCCAGGCCAGTTGGAAAATCCCTCTTGGTACTGAACCGCTCGTTGGACTCAAAAGTTTTTGCAATCCAAAGCCAATCCAATTTTCATTGCAGCACTTTTTTTCCACCAGAGACCCAACACAGCCTAAACTGTTTATCACGCTATCTTGCCTGCTTTCCCACTTTTTGCTGCCACACACGAATGAAAAAGAAACCCCCTCTTCATTTATAGCAGAATCAAAAATGCTCTAAAGCTTTTAGCTTTCAAAGCAGATAATTTTGCCTCAGGTGAACCATGAAGTTCTCTCTCCTCTGAAACAGGCTAAAATGTCAAGCTGTTTTTCTTTTACTTTTCCCTTTTTTCTGCTACAAGGAATCACAGACTTTTCATCCTACCGTAAAAAACAAATGCCAGAATTAAAGCACATCAAGTAAGCACTCTTTCAAAATCTTCTAAAATTCAAGGAAGGAAGAAATATAATCATCTAAAAAAGAAAGAGAAGCAGCATTAAAAATCTGACTTCCTGGGTTCGCTATTTCTCTAGGTATTTTCCTTGCTTGTTTGATCGGATCTTTCCTTCTTGATGCTTGTCTACAGCATAGATTCATAGTTCCAGACACAACATTTGCAGCTGTACAAGAAGGAAACATATGAAGTATTCCAATTGTTTTATTTGAATAACATTTATGAGCTCAATTAATTAGTATTTATACCACACTCAGTGAAAAGAGGAAAAAGGAGAGGGAGAAAGAATACGCAAGTTTGATGACCTGGTTAACTCAAGAAGGATGACGAGGTTTGCTCAGTTCAATGCCCAGACTTGTCCCATAGTTCCTCAACTTATTTACTTCCAGTCATCATTACTCAACATATGGTCACGATTTATTAGTCCATTCACAATCTACTGAGCCCAAAGCAAAACGTGCCAAAGACCATACATTATCCCTCTGCAATAACAAAATCAGTTTCCTCTACCCTCTGTATTCTTCTGTTTCCCTCGCAGCTATTGATTGAGATTGTGGAGGTATTTATTAGGCTTTTTCTGTGCAGAGGGTGTTTTTTCTTCCTCTTCTTGCAAACTTTTTTCACCTGTGAAGACCATGTGGAAAGTTGAACATTACTGGCACGTGTCTTTCCATGGGTTACTGATTCCTGTGATGTAAGGGTGCTCCATCTGGTTCTCAGATTAATTTTCATCAATTGCAAAGCTCTCAGGAATATGCAAGAGTAAGTCTATGTGATGACAAAAACATGTGCATTTTCATGTACATGCAGCGCGCACACCAGCTCACTCAATCTGGTACTCAGAGCTGCATCTGCCTTTTCAGTTTAGCTGTGGTAATCTTGTAAGACCCCCGTCATTCAAAGCTTGAAATCCCTGGATTCTTCCAACCCTGCAAGACAAAGCACACACACATACAAAAAAAGAAAAAAAAAGTGAATAAAATAAGCCACAAGACAACTTTAAAGATACAAGCACTATTGTTACAGTAATCAAAGCATTATGATTAAGGATTTTATAATGGACTCCTATAAAATATCTATATTATATATAGATACATGGAATATTCAGACACACACACATATGTATTTGATACACAAATACAAACTACAAAATTTTCTTTTTCACTTCCAAAGTTTCTAAAACATGTCACAATTGACACATAACTAATGAAATGTATCCAGGAAGGATACATTAGGGGGAAAAAAGGGATCCTTCTTTTGGCCATAGTCACTGGGGCAAACTCTTAGACAAAGATTCCATAACTTTGGAGTGAGGGTAGGGAAGTGGCAGAGCAGGCACGAAGTTAGACCCCAAGGCACACAAACAGAATCACAGAGTGGCTGAGGCTGGAAGGCACCTCTGGACATTATCTGGTCCAACCCCTCTGCTCAAGCAGGGACACCTAGAGCCGGCTGCCCAGGACTGCACCCAGGCAGCTTTGGAGTGTCTCCAAGGATGGAGACTCCACAACCTCTCTGTGCAACCCGTGCCAGTACTCCGTCATCGTCACAGTAAAGAAGTGTTTCCTGATGTTCAGAGGGAACCTCATGTGTTTCAGTTTGTGCCCACTGCCACTGGTCCTATCACTGGGCACCACTGACAAGAGTCTGGCTCTGTCATCTTCATTCCCTCCCATCAAGTATTTATCATAGAACCATAAAATGGTTTGGGTCGGAAGGGACCTTAAGTCCCTTAAGAACCTTAGTTCCAACCCCCCTGCCATGGGCAGGGACACCTTCCACTAGACCAGGTTGCTCAAAGCCCCATCCAACCTGGCCTTGAATATTTCCAGGAATGGGGCATCCACAACTTCTCTGGGCAACCTGTTCCCATGTTTCACCACCCTCACAGTGAAGATGATCTTTCATACATATTAAAAAGATCTCCCTGAGCCTTTTCTTCTCCAGACTGAACAGTCCCAGCTCTTTCAGACTTTCCTCATATGAAAGATGCTCCAAACCATGAAAGTACAGTGCTAAACTTGTCAAAGGAGACTGAGAAGATTCCTCCAGGGCTTAAATTACTGCTTTAAAGAGATCTAAGGTACTCCAAAATTAAAACTTAGAAGTTTGAATCAATACAGATGAACTGACTACTCAAATTCTGCATCAGTCTCCATTTGAAAAAGGGGGAAAAAATTCCCCAAAGTCAGTTATACACAGAAGAGTGTAGAGTAGAAGAGACCAAGGAAAAGACTGTCCAGGATATTCCAGAAGTTATATCTGAAATGCACACATAGGCACAGTTATGCATCTATACATTTACTGCTAAACAGAGCTCATTTAAATTGAGAATTGCATTTATGACATTCAACAGGGCTGTAAAAATAGTCTTGTCTATATTACATACAGCACTGTACTAACCTCACATTTCGAGTAATTAACCACTTTTTTCAGTCTAGCATAGATGTACCAATAGATTTTTTTTTAAAAAAGAAAAAGATAAGAAAAAAAAATTATAGCTATAAAGGCAAGGCCATAAAGTGGTTTACAACACTATTCAGCTAGCACACTTATCAGGAACACCATCCATGAGGTTTGGTGAGTCACTACCAGAACTTTTCAGCATTACAACTAACCAAAGATTTAAAAATAATGGCTGCTACCAATTTTTTTCATCATAGCATGATGAGGATATGAGAAATGTCACCTAGTCTTTCCAGATTTATGGTGCTTTGTAGCGTTCACTACATATCAAGGTGCCACGATTAGATCACTGGTCGGCCCGGACCAGGGAAAGAGACAGATAACACACACAGTGTGAGCGCCAACTTCCGCCTTTTATTGCGCAGTCAATTCCTTTTATTCTAACAAGGGTAGGCGGGATTACAGATACATCATAGGGCTACGACTAACCCTCCGTCTTTCCGTGACATCGCGAGATCTTCCGAACGCCGTTCCCTACATCGCTTCTCAATTACAGTCCAAAGAAAGTTCATATAAAGGAAAATTCAGAAAAACTTCCAGAACACAATGATGGTCTGAAGAATTTCTGTGCTCATCCCATAAGCAAATAATCCTGTCAAGGATCAGTGCTGTTACTTCCACACCCACCAGGGTCTTCCTAACAAATACCTGCATTCAAGAGTTGACATTTTATATTAGCGACTTCGTGTATTATGATGCAAGCCTTTACTAACCTCACAGAGAAACAAAAAACAAAAATGGTTTACTGAGCAAACAGAAAGTCTCTGAAACATCAGTTAGAGCAGCATGAGGTAAGCATTAAACAGAATTGTTTGAACTGTGCAAGTACCATGACTTTACAAGTGGATTTTAAAATACAGACAACTACAGAGGCTGTGGCTTTGCACAAAATCTGTATGCAATTTCTGTCCTTATTCACTGCATATAAAATTAACAAGTTTGAGAAAAGAACTCTTTTGTGTCTTGGCCAATAACCTTCTCTCACCTGAGTCCCATTTACCATCACTTTCAAGATTAGACAAACTAAAGGCTTCTCCTCTTAAAAATATCCTAACTGCATTAGGAATGCTGGACAGGTAGAGTTGAAAATCTAAAATAACTACAAAAGGAATAAAGTCAATCATTATTCAGATACATATCTCTCAGTACAATACACCCCACGAGACTATTTTACCTTTAAATCACTGAGGGTCAACACTTCCTTTATGTTGTACTTACATTCAGTAGACAAGATAAAAAGTACTTTTAAGACTGTAGTGTCAAACGCTCAAAAGATAGGCTGAATTAAGATTACATATATTATATATTAAGATTTAATTCCTTCCATTCCCCTCTCCTTCATTTCCACCCACTCAGTATTTCCTAAGAAATAACCTAATTAAAAGATTCAGATGCCAGTCTTCCCTCAAGAAAATCTGTAA